AAATTTTTCTTTGAGATTCGGACGCCATCAAGTTGATATGTGTGCAACATGTGAGACTTTAACCAACAAAACAAAAAACACGCTCTTAAATGATACGGCCAAACGAGCAAAAGTTTCAGAGCTGCTAGTTCATAAACGGCGAACTAAAAAATTTTATGCAAAACTGAAAAGCGAGTCTAATGAGCCTTGTGATTCAAAAAATATTCTAGCTTTAGCTTTCGACTTTATGCAAAATGTTCAGCTGCCAAAAACACCTGTAGGTGATGTGTTTTATTACCAGCAACTGACCATTTCGGTGTTTTGTATACATAATATTAAGGAAAATACTGCACGAATGTATATATATCATGAAGGGCAAGCGAAGAAAGCTGCCAACGAGATTTGCTCTTTTCTTTTGGATTACCTTAAGGATGTTCCCAGAGATAATATAAATGAGATCCACTTATACAGTGACAACTGCTGGGGACAAAATAAGAATCACACTTTGGTTCGCATGCTTCTTGCACTGACAGGTAGTAGCCAGTATTCCAAAATCGTACACTATTTTCCTATAAGAGGTCACTCTTTCCTTCCCTGCGATAGAGACTTTGCTATTGTGAAGAGAAAACTAAAAAACATGACAGAATCTCCACGGTTCATCAACTAACCGAATTGATTGTAATGAGCAGCATGTCGAATAAATTTTCAGTTAAAGAAGTAAAAACAGAAGATATTATAAACTTTAAAGAGTGTTGGCCAAAACTACACAAAAAAACGTAATATCTGGGGAAACTTCTTCCAAGATTACACCACGTAAGTTAAAGGTCCATTTCAATATAAGTACCTATTCACAATTTAGTTACGACACACAAAGAAGGGGTTGCGTCGAGGCTTCGAAATTCATAGACGGAGCTTTCCAACACACATTCAAACTCCAACAGTCAGGGAAGACTGCAGTAGCGTTACCTTCTCAACAGGCCTATTCGTTGGGAAAAGTCCCTATAAAGATGACAAAAATGGAACACATAAGAAAATATGCATCGTTTGTAGAAGATCAATAACAAGAATTCTATACTTCAATACTTAGTTGGCCAACTACTTCTAATTAGAAATTACATGTTTTTTTTTTCAATTTGTGATAAATAATCACGTTCCATTAGACAAAAGTATTTCAATTTCATCCTACGCTATGCAGAAAGCTCACATGTCCAATTCTTTAGAAGGCTGTACAAACTTTTTCTTTTTATTTTGAACAAAATTAAATATTAGAAGATATTACAGCCGCCTTAAACTATAATTTCCAACCGTTAAACACAGGGCGCATTTATTTCAACAAATAATATAATGTTTTTTCCATTTCCTCGAGAATCACTTTTTTGGACATGTGTCGTTTCTGCAAACGCCGATTCAAATGTTCTGTTTTGCAGCGCTATTAAATATTGTGCTAATTTACGTTTAGTTTCCATTGAAGGATGTATGATGGCGCAACGCCTAGAAATACCGGAACTTCATTTTACGCATCCTTCCAAAGGCGTAAAAACGCTATTTTCTAACAGGATATTCCCCGTCCCTATATGCAGAAGCTTCAATAGCGCCCAAGTTATCTACCTTCCTTGATCACCTGGATCTCAAGACGTATGAACATGTTTTGTGGAATATGATGGAAAAAAGTGAACTCTTCACCTCATCCTCCACCAATATTATATCTTCTTTCCTTGATCTCCTGGATCTCAAGACGTTTGAACATGTTTTGTGAGATATGATGGAAAAAAGTGACCTCTTCACCTCATCTACCATCAATATTAGCACCTTTTCGAAACCAACTACAGCTAGCTTGAAATGAGATAGCTCAAGAAGACATAAATTGCCTCATCAGATGCATGCCTCGACACTGGGCGAATGTACACCGAGTGTTTCAAATTCGGCCCCCATTATTGGGACCTTGGGCTCTGCCTCAGACAAGAAGTCGATTAAATGGGGGCAAAGTTGCATATTTAGGTAATCAAGAAAATAACACCGGATAGAATTAGAAAGAAACGAGTTTTTCCAAAATCGTTTTAATATTTTACTTGTAGTGAGATTTTAGCATAAATTGCATTTTGGCACAAATGAATAGAGTTTTTAATTTGAATTCCAAAAATGTGTAACACGCCATACATTGCCATTGCCGAATCTTAGTTATTTCGAAAAAGCAGAATTTCCTAGGTAGGCCTTGAAATTGTCAGATAGTCATTTGTTTGACATACCAGATTTATCCCAAAATTATTGGTATTTCTTCCTGACTTTATTTAAGATGGAATTTCAAAATAAATTACATGTTGTCATTGTTACTTATTCTCATCTACAAGTCAAATTTTTATTTCTTTCGACTTCCATCATCAACTTTGTTCTCTCATATCGACGTTATATAGGAATTTTGCATATTTGAATGGACTTTTCCTGAACATAAAATGAATGTTTCATTCGTGGTAATAACAATGATAGTCATAAATAGGCAGATATAAATCATAGGTGATGCTTAAAATGTCCGTTGTTTTATAGCAACATTGCTCACTGCTCGATTTATTCAACTGCTTGTCAATCTTACTAACTATTTCACTATGTTCAACTTGAGGTCTGGTCTGGTATGCGAAACAAATAACTATATGATAATTTCAAGGCCTACTTATGAACTTCTGTTTTCCTAGAATAACTAAGGTTTCTCAATGTCAAATGTATGACAGACATTTTTGGAATCAGAATTAAAAACTCTATTCATCTGCGTAAAAATCCAATATGGCGTCCATAAGGAGAAATAAAGGTGATGCTGGACGACAAGAGACGAAACCTCTAATCAAGCCATCATGTAGAGGAGAAAAAGTTGCAATGTTATTATACAATTTATTTTAATATCCCACTACAAATAAGGTCGGGAAAATATTAAAACGATTTTAGGAGAATTCTGTCTTTCTGTTTCGCTTTGGAAGAAATGTTGAATATCGAAACCTTACTAGCAGCATTTTGTTAGTTACCTAAATACACAGCTTTGCTTTCATATAAGCGACTTCGTATCTGCTACTGCTTTCTAAATCCCAATGGTGAGGGTCGAATTCAAAACACCCGGTATAGCTTTAAGATGACCTAGCTACCTAGCACATTATCAGGGAATCCAGCGCTACAGCAAATGGTTTCACCTAAAAATGTAATTATAATAAGTGACATATAGATCCGAACACCCAGCTTAAATGGTTTTATTTTAATAAAATTTTGTATAAGTACTTAATGAAGCATAATAAGTAAATGATAAAAATTTCAAAATGATTGCACTGCTTTAAAGCCCTTTGACCTTTAATAATGTGTGGATGCACCCTGATGTGCTACGTATTCTTCAACGCGCCTAGGCATGCTTCTGATCAGGTGGTCAATGTCCTCCTGTGGTATCTCATTCCAGGCAACCACCAACTCCTCTCGAAGTGCTTCTAGAGTCTGAGGAGGACGTTGTAAATTGAGCAATCTCCTACCCATCATATCCCACACGTGCTCAATTGGGGATAAGTCGGGAGATCTTGGTAGTCATGGTAACAATGTGATATCATTATGTTGAAAGAAGTCTATTGTGACTCTTGCAACATGTGGTCGGGCATTATCTTGTTGGAAAGTTGGATCTGCCAGAGTGTCAAGATAGGGTAGAAGATGGGGTTCTAGAACTTCGTGGATATAACGCTGCGCGTTCATGTTACCTCTGATGAAGATTAAAGGTGACCTGGAACCATAAGCTATAGCACCCCAAACCATAACTCCAACAGTGTGATGAACATGTCTTTCAACAAAAAACTGTGGATTCCTCCTTTCACCACGTCGCCTTCTAACCCTTACACCGACGTAATCGCCTTGAGTGGTGCAGACAACGGTCACTCTGGGATCAGGAATGGAACAGTATTGTCTTTAGTGACGAGTCTCGATTTTGTTTAGGCATGCACGATGGTCGTGCCAGGGTTAAAAGGCGACGTGGTGAAAGGAGGAATCCACAGTTTTTTGTTGAAGGACATGTTCATCACACTGTTGGAGTTATGGTTTGGGGTGCTATAGCTTATGGTTCCAGGTCACCTTTAATCTTCATCAGAGGAAACATGAACGCGCAGCGTTATATCCACGAAGTTCCAGAACCCCATCTTTTACCCTATCTTGACACCCTGGCAGATCCAACTTTCCAACAAGATAATGCCCGACCACATGTTGCAAGATTCACAATAGACTTCTTTCAACATAATGATGTCACATTGTTACCATGGCCACCAAGATCTCCCGACTTATCCCCAATTGAGCACGTGTGGGATATGATGGGTAGGAGATTGCTCAATTTGCAACGTCCTCCTCAGACTCTAGAAGCACTTCGAGAGGAGTTGGTGGTTGCCTGGAATGAGATACCACAGGAGGACATTGACCACCTGATCAGAAGCATGCCTAGGCGCGTTGGAGAATGCGTAGCACATCAGGGTGCATCCACACATTATTAATGATCAAAGGGCTTTAAAGCAGTGCAATCATTTTGAAATTTTTATCATTTACTTATTATGCTTCATTAAGTACTTATACAAAATTTTATTAAAATGAAACCATTTAAACTGGGTGTTCGGATTTATATGTCACTTAGTATACTATTTCCTCTTGCTCATGCCTAACTGGATAGTTAGATTTTTTATTCAATTAAAACAATGTTTACTGGGTGTTTTATTTTCTTTGCACTTCTGAGTATATTTCAACAGATTAGTTTGGCTACTGTCACTGTCGACGTAAATATGGCGTTCCGCTAAGGAAGGATCTCAAAGGTGTTTTAATCAGTATCATAATTCACGCTCCATACCATGCTTCGCTTTGACACTGTTTGCGGTAAAGTACTGTGTGTTAGAGTATCGTGATCTTCATACTTTCAACCTTGTTATGTACTATCTACTTTCATCCCCTACTGAGGTGTAGTGGTCGTGATATATGTTATTCCTTTTAACTAATTCTGACCATTCATTAAAATTCCCTGTCCCTACCTGGTATCGGTGTGTCCACTATCCTTGCCCCATAACGCTGCATTGTAGGTTGACTCACAATTCGTTGTCCTTCTCTGATGCCAGCTATGTGTGCTCTGACATCTATGTTTTCAGGATCGCTGAAAAAGTTCGTAAAATATCTTGGTTCATCAAGTGAGTCCTTGGACCGCAGCCGTATGTAACCCACTGAAATTGGATGCATCAGTTGGGTTAAAACCTGAAATGGAATACTGGTTTAAGCAATATGAAAAATATGTTACTAAAAATGTATATAAATAAGTAACCATATGGTTTATTACATTCCATATGAATGGAATTCTTTCGAACCTTTTCGATTTTGTCTCCTCTTTCTGTCTCTTAAACGCCACGCTACTCCAATAATGTAAATTTTGAATAAGTAATTATCTGTCCGAACTAATAAAAAAACTTTGACGTCCTCTAATGAACAAACGAAGCACTTAATTTGAGTTTTAAATTGTAATTGTCAAACCGAAGTTATTTCAGAAAACTAATATTTGAATGGTTGGCATTGAAAATGAATGTCTATGACACGTCGATTAAATCACCAATTAAAAATTGCCTCAGTTTTTAATAGAACGTGTTTTAAAGTAATTTACACATGAATATGAAATTTGTTTAGCATCCTGCAGCATCGTTGAAGCCTTTTTGAATTACTCTAAAGTATTTCTATCATTCCCTTAAAATCTCGGAAACTGTAAAATATATGAAGTCGCGTCGCTTAAATGAGAGAGACGAAAGAACCGAATTTTCTAAAAATCGTTTCAGTTTTCCCCTGACTTTATTTGTAGTTTTTAGTTTTTAATTCTGATTCCAAAAATGTATAATCTAGAGTTATTTCAAAAAGCAGAATCTCCTAGGTGGGCCTTGAAATTTTTCAATTCGACATTTTTGTTCTTTCGACTTCCATTGCCAACTTTGTTTTTTTATATGGACGCTATATTGGTATTTTGTACATTTAAATGGACTTAACATTCCTGAATTCAGTGCTGTATTTATTGCCTTAGTTGGCCATACATTTTTTGTTGGATGAAAATTATAAGTAAGTAAGAAGGTATACTAAGTGACATATAAATTCGAACACCCAGTTTAAATGGTTTTATTTTAATAAAAGTTGGTGAATGTATTTATCTTACTGTAAATAACAAGTGAAAAAGTTTTCAGCCTTATCAGTTGGACATTCCGGTTTTTATACTGCTTTCTTTTAATTCACTAACGTTCTAAAAATGAATATTTCAGCCGCAGTAAAGAATCAACGTTGGCGGATTTTGGTTCTTGACATCCTTTTACTATCGGTTACGATGCTTAGAGTACGGAGACCTGTACGATTTCGTCAACTTAGTGAGTTTGATAGGGACCGTATAGTGGGACTTCGGGAAGCTGGACTTTCTTTTCGGGCAATTGCAGTTAGAGTGCAAAGAAGTGTAGACACTGTGGTTAGGTGTTGTCAGGCATGGCTTCGAGAAGGCCGTACGCAAAGAGCAAGAGGCACTGGACGCCGCCGTAGAACAACAGACCGTGAAGATCGCCGCCTAAGATTATTGGCCTTAAGGGACCGTTTCTCCAATACCAGGTCCATTGCAAATGAATGGTTTGCAGAACACGGAAGACCTATTGGCATGCGAAGTTTTTACCGACGAATGAGAAGTTTTGGCTTGTTTTCATACCGGCCACACTGGGTTCCTCTCTTTAACTCGAGAACACCGACGTAATCGCCTTGAGTGGTGCAGACAACGGTCACTCTGGGATCAGGAATGGAACAGTATTGTCTTTAGTGACGAGTCTCGATTTTGTTTAGGCATGCACGATGGTCGTGCCAGGGTTAGAAGGCGACGTGGTGAAAGGAGGAATCCACAGTTTTTTGTTGAAAGACATGTTCATCACACTGTTGGAGTTATGGTTTGGGGGTGCTATAGCTTATGGTTCCAGGTCACCTTTAATCTTTATCAGAGGTAACATGAACGCGCAGCGTTATATCCACGAAGTTCTAGAACCCCATCTTTTACTCTATCTTGACACCCTAGCAGATCCAACTTTCCAACAAGATAATGCCCGACCACATGTTGCAAGAGTCACAATAGACTTCTTTCAACATAATGATGTCACATTGTTACCATGGCCACCAAGATCTCCCGACTTATCCCCAATTGAGCACGTGAGGGATATGATGGGTAGGAGATTGCTCAATTTGCAACGTCCTCCTCAGACTCTAGAAGCACTTCGAGAAGAGTTGGTGGTTGCCTGGAATGAGATACCACAGGAGGACATTGACCACCTGATCAGAAGCATGCCTAGGCGCGTTGGAGAATGCGTAGCACATCAGGGTGCATCCACATATTATTAAAGGTCAAAGGGCTTTAAAGCAGTGCAATCATTTTGAAATTTTTATCATTTACTTATTATGCTTCATTAAGTACTTAATACAAAATTTTATTAAAATAAAACCATTTAAACTGGGTGTTCGGATTTATATGTCACTTAGTATATGAAACCTGAGTTATGAAGACCTTATTGATGGTAATAACAATAATAAATCATAGCAGATGTTCAAAATGTTGTCGTTTATTTTTTAAGAGAAGCCTGATTATTCTCTGTATGTTGTTCATAGCAGGATTCGCTTCCTTTCTTCCCAGTCTTCCAAATTCTGCTGCTATGTGCAATTGTTGGTCTGGTCTGCTATGCGAAACAAATGAAATCTAATAATGTCAAGGCCTACCTAGGTATTTTTGATTTTCTATAATAACCAAGTTTTGGCAATGTTAATGTATGGCATTTTACATTTTTTAAATAAGAGGTAAAAACGCTATTCATCTCTACAAAAATTCAATATGTCGTCCATAAAAAAAACTAAGTTGTTGCTATAGGACAAGAGACCAAACGTCATATAGAAATTCTAATTTTGCCACCTTGTCGAGAAGAAAGAGTGGAGTTATTAATGTGAAATTTATTTTGGACTCCTACTATAAATAAAGACAGGAAGCAATCAATTTGGAAAAATATGTTTTTTTCGTCTCTCTCCGGAAGTACTTTGAATTTCGAAACTTTTCTATGTGGCATTTCCAAATACGCAACTTTGTCATAATTTAAACTTCTTCTTTTTCTTACGTATTTCGGGATCCCAACATTAGGTACGAACATAGTTAGTGTATGACCATGACCAGTTCATTAATCTAATTTCTAATATATGAAACAAATGGTAATTTCCAGGTTTCGTTAGGTAATACTGCTTTTCCATATAATTATAGTTTTACAATAGTGATGCATGATATATCCACATGTGTGAAAATCCAACATGGCGCCCATGAAAAGAATAAGTTGATGATTGAGCACACGGGACTAAACGTCATATTGAAGTGTCAACGTTAAAAGAAAATGGCAAAAATAAAAAAGAGGAGAATAATCTCGATACCCTAGGGTTTGTCCATAGGAGCAGTCGTATCGGCCAGTTCTACACGTGCAAAGTACGATACGCTTAGGTTGGGAGGCTGAAGTCAGGCAGGTGTGTCTGGCAGGCAGCGGTAGAGGAGAGGTAGATTGCCAATGGTCCGATGGTACGAAGGGGTCTCGAGACGATCCGCTAAAGAAGATTCATCGATCAGTCGGAGAGCCCTTCACTGGACAGCATCGAGCATAAATGATGTAGCCCTAAACAAATAGCCTAGCTTTTCCCCAGCAGCTGCAGCTATTGTTCGTGCCATATCAAATCCTCGTTGATCAGGACTCTGACCAGCTGAAATGAACGGCTCTTTTGTGGAACTCGATCTTCCATCGAACCGAATGAGCGGTAGGACGCTTCTTGTTCGTCAAGGTACAGTACTGTGTTTTAGAATCAATTTTAATAATATATAATAATATGTTCTAATAACTCAATTTTCTTACAGTGAACCCTGGTTTTCCAATTAGCGGTTTCCAAACAACGTTGAATGTCTCTTTGGTATGTTGAAAATTTGTCTAATGTAGAGCCCAAAGTCAGTTGCTGGAGTACCAGCTAGAAAAATAAGCTCGATATCTGGCCACGTTGGATGTTCTGGGTCTGTTAGATTCGTCTTTACGTATGTCAGCGCTTCGACATTACCTGAAGTCAAAAGCAAGGCTTTAATATTGACAAAAATCCTGAACTACTATTTATAGCTGTTGAGAGTGGATAATTTAAGTCAGTTCTCTAGAGGATAATCCTGTGCTTGAATGAAAATACATGAATAGAAATGTTAGTCAAATAGATGCACTCAATACTTCCCACGCAACCTACTGAAATCTTAGGTATATGAAAAACCTAATCGTCCTTAGTAACAGGCAAATATGAGAAATACCTGATTGGAGTAACCAGACAGCTAAGAAAAGCAACAAAAGAGAAAATAGGACTTTTCTGCATGATTCCTTTAAAGTATTGTTCGAGAAGTTTGAACACGTTTCGAGCAAAATGCTTTTTCGTTGAAGACTTCGCCGCTAAGGTCGGTGTAAATGGTGTCAGGTTGTGCTTTCATTTTAAAGATGCGAAAGTATTATTAGACAATAAAATCAAATTCTCTTAGCTATGAAGCCCTACCGATTCACATTATATACTAAGTGACATATATATCCGAACACCCAGTTTAAATGGATTTATTTTAATAAAATTTTGTATAAGTACTTAATGAAGCATAATAAGTAAATGATAAAAATTTCAAAATGATTGCACTGCTTTAAAGCCCTTTGACCTTTAATATGTGTGGATGCACCCTGGATGTGCTACGCATTCTCCAATGCGCCTAGGCGTGCTTCTATCAGGTGGTCAATGTCCTCCTGTGGTATCTCATTCCAGGCAACCACCAACTCCTCTCGAAGTGCTTCTAGAGTCTGAGGAGGACATTGCAAATTGAGCAATCTCCTACCCATCATATCCCTCACGTGTTCAATTGGGGATAGTCGGGAGATCTTGATGGCCATAGTAACAATGTGACATCATTATGTTGAAAGAAGTCTATTGTGACTCTTGCAACATGTGGTCGGGCATTATCTTGTTGGAAAGTTGGATCTGCCAGGGTGTCAAGATAGGGTAAAAGATGGGGTTCTAGAACTTCGTAGGGATAACGCTGCGCGTTCATGTTACCTCTGATGAAGATTAAAGGTGACCTGGAACCATAAGCTATAGCACCCCAAACCATAACTCCAACAGTGTGATGAATATGTCTTTCAACAAAAAACTGTGGATTCCTCCTTTCACCACGTCGCCTTCTAACCCTGGCATGACCATCGTGCATGCCTAAACAAATCGAGACTCGTCACTAAAGACAATACTGTTCCATTCCTGATCCCAGAGTGACCGTTGTCTGCACCACTCAAGGCGATTACGTCGGTGTTCTCGAGTTAAAGGGAGGACCCAGTGTGGCCGGTATGAATACAAGCCAAAACTTCTCATTCGTCGGTAAACACTTCGCATGCCAATAGGTCTTCCGTGTTCTGCAAACCATTCATTTGCAATGGACCTGGTAGTGGAGAAACGGTCCCTTAAGGCCAATAATCTTAGGCGGCGATCTTTACGGTCTGTTGTTCTACGGCGGCGTCCAGTGCCCCTTGCTCTTTGCGCACGGCATTCTCGAAGCCATGCCTGACAACACCTAACCACAGTGTCTACACTTCTTTGCACTCTAACTGCAATTGCCCGAAAAGAAAGTCCAGCTTCACAAAGTCCCACTATACGGCCCCTATCAAACTCACTAAGTTGACGAAATCGTACAGGTCTCCGTACTCTAGGCATCGTAACCGATCGTAAAGGATGTCAAGAACCAAAAATCGCCAACGTTGATTCTTTACTGCGGCTGAAATATTCATTTTTAGAGCCTTAGTGAATTAAAAAAAAGCAGTATAAAAACCGGAATGTCCAACTGATAAGGCTGAAAATTTTTTCACTTGTTATTTAGAGTAAGATAAGTACATTCACCAACTTTTATTAAAATAAAACCATTTAAACTGGGTGTTCGGATTTATACAGGGTGACTTCGAAGTTGAGTCATTTATTTTAACAGTGAGTAGTTCTGATCAAAAGAAATGTTTTTTCCTTTACCATTTTTCAGGTAAAATTAAAGTAACAAAGTTATAGCCCTTTGGAAGTTTGAGTACCGCCATCTCAATAATAATATTATGTGCTCGTGTTTGGCGACAACGGATATAATCCGCCTTCGGTTCATCGCATCGGAAACAAAAAAGCGAAAGAATTTGGAACGATGTTTTTACAATTATTTCATTCAGTTGTATACAGTCAGTGTCAGGTAGTGAATAGTGGTGTCTGTTGCGTGGCTCAAACGAAATAAAAAATGGCACATGTTTATGCGGATCGGTTTCCCAATCGAGTGCAACCAACCCCGTGCCTTTGTTAATGTAGTACAACGGGCTCGTGAATCAGGTGACGGCATGCCGGTGCTCCAAGACCTCACGATCAAATACAGGTCCGCACTGAAATACTTGTCGGGAGGATACTTTATAAAACAAGGTAAAATTTTTTTTAATTTTTTTTTTATTTTTACACACATATTTTGGTTTATCGTCCTTCTACAATCATTATCTGAAAATTAATGACTCAACTTCAAAGTCACCCTGTATTATATA